AAAATATCATTTATCATGTAATCGGTGCTTAACATTATTATTGAGATTTTTACTTTCTTTCTTTCTTTTTTTTTTTTGACACAGTATTTGAAATCTGATAAGTATTTTAAACTTAAAGCACATCTCAATTAAGACAAGCCATATTTCAAGTGCTCAATAGCTGTATGAGACTAGTAGCTAACACATTAGACGGGCACAGGTCTGGAGAGTTGAACAAAGTTACTATATTAGTTTCATAGGGCTACCACGACAAATTGCCACAAACTATGTGGTTTAAAAGAGCAGAAATTTATTCTGTCAGCTTTGGAGGCTACAAGTCTAAAATCAAGGTCACATCAGGGTTGGTTCCTACTGGAGACTCTGAGGGAGAATCTATTCCCTCCCTCTCTCCTGGCTTCTGGTGGTTGCCGGCAATCCTTGGCCCTTGTCTTACAGATGTATCACTCCAATCTCTGCATCTGTGTTCACCCGGTGTCCTCAATTGTGTGTGTCTGTCTTTACGTCGCTTTCTTTCCTTCTCTTGTCTCTGTCTCCAAATTTCCCTCTTCTTCTGAGGACAGGAGTTATTGGGTTAGGGCCCACCCTAATTCAGTATGACCTCATGATTGTATCTACAAAGACCCTATTTCCAAATAAGGTCACATTCTGAGGTTCCAGGTGGGCATAAATGTATGGAAAACACTAGGTCCAGGGCCGGGCGCAGTGGCTCACGCCTGTAATCCTAGCACTCTGGGAGGCCTAGGTGGGTGGATCGTTTGAGCTAAGGAGTTCGAGACCAGCCTGAGCAAGAGCGAGACCCTGTCTCTACTAAAAAAATAGAAAAGAAGTTAGCTGGCCAACTAAAAATATATAGAAAAAATTAGCCATGCGTGGCGGCGCATACCTGTAGTCCCAGCTTTTTGGGAGGCTGAGGCAAGAGGATCGCCTGAGCCCAGGAGTTTGAGGTTGCTGTGAGCTAGGCTGATGCCACGGTACTCTAGCCCAGGCAACAGCAACAAGGACAAAAAAAGAAAACATTAAGTACAGTTGCTAATTCAAATGAATTTAAAATTCACACTGAAGATAATACATATGAATTCATGGATCATTGAGGTATAGTGAAATAAGACTCTGGTTTGAAGTATGGCTTTGAGAGCATAGGATATATCTGTACTCACCCTAACCCCCCCAAACCTCTTATAGTGAGGTTAAAATTATTATATCAGATAATAAGTCACACTGGTGACATTTAGGGTGAATTCAAAGGAGAGATGAAGAGTTATTTGGGGGAAATTGTGGAGGAAATGTGTTCCTCATGCTTATAAAGCTGGTGCTGAGGCAGAATGCACAATAGTGTGTGCTCACTTTGTGCTCACATCTGCTTGGAATACAACAGTTAAAATAGAAACTCAAACAAGTTTTTAAATTGGTTAGTAACACTCAGCATCTCTTAGGATAGAGAGGAAGCAGCTGGGAGAACTATTACTTTAAACCAGAGTACTTTACAAAATGGTAGAATTGATGGGTTATCAGTGGTCCCCAACCTTTTTGGCACCAGGGACCAGTTTGGCGAAGACAGTTTTTCCACAGACAGGTGTCAGGGGTTGGGGTAGGGGTGGTTTGGGACTACAGGGTTAAGTGACAGTAACTGAGATTTTGGAAGAAAATGAGCAGATGAACCAAGTATAGGAGACCTGAACTTGGTCAGATGTTTCTGGACTAGAAGGGTGTCAAAGGAAAGACAGGCATACATTCTTGAGAACATGGCAGAGATGGTGGCTCAAAAGTATTAGTAAACTGAGAAATTTAATTCTGACCATGTTGCTAAAGAAAGAGAAAAGGCAAGACCCAAGGGGGAAGCTTTCCAATAAACTCATTTTATAAAGGGGCATTTTCAGAAGGTGGAAAGCAAGGGTAAAAGCAAGGATTAATGGATCCAAGAGGTGCCTCAGGAATTTTAGAACACAAAATAAGTTGAGGCTTGCAAAAAAGTATGCACATTTAAAGAACCTTTAGTTTGGTTTGGTGCAATTTGGTGACTGGGAAAGGAATCATTGCTCTGCGCTAATTGTATGATGCCCACTGATTACAAAGTGGAAACAAAATCTTTATTGCTTTTGTTAAGAATGTTCAAACCAAAAGAACTAAGACAGATGAAATCCTATAGCAGAAAAAGAATTTGTGAAAAGATTTGCAGAGCCCTGTCTGTGATCTTTGAGGAATGCTGAGCGTCTTCAAGGAGAGTTTAATAATGACCACCCCTCTTTCCTGCCCAAATTCTTTTAAGGAAAAGAGGAAAACATATTGGGGCCAGAATATCTCCTTTACTACCAATTAAGCAGATGCTGGAGAATGTGTGCTTCCTAGTACCGAATTCCAGACTTCGCCCTGAGTAACTGGAACGGGGCAGTCGTTGCTTCCAGGAAGAAGGGGAAAGAGGCCCCGAATGCTGTGATGAAAGTGGATGTCCCTGTGTGTGCAACCTCAGATTAGAAATGGGAAAGAGGCACACCTCCCTCAAAAGGAAATGAGGGGAGGTTTTTTAAAAACAATCTCTGAAGGGAGAAAAGGAAAATGGCTTAAGACTGATTAACTTACTGCCAATTCCAGGCAAGAACCTAGACTAGATTATCAAAAAGATAGCTTCAAGTACCTATGACAGTAATCAGTAATCATAGTTAGCTAACAAGTTTTAACTCATTCCCTTCATTGATTGGTAAAAATATTGGAATATAAAAATGATATATAGGCCAGGCACAGGTGGGTCACACCTGTAATCCTAGCACTCTGGGAGGCCAAGGTGGGAGAATCACTTGAGCTCGGGAATTCAAGAGGAGCTTGAGCAATAGTGAGACCCCCACCTCTACTAAAAATAGAGAAAATTGGCCAGGCATGGTGGCTCACACCTGTAATCCTAGCACTCTGGGAGGCTGAGGCGGAATGCTCAAGGTCAAGAGTTCAAAACCAGCCTGAGCAAGAGTGAGACCCTGTCTCTACTAAAAATAGAAAGAAATTAATTGGTCAACTAAAACTTATATATAGAAAAAATTAGCTAGGTGTGGTGCCACATGCCTGTAGTCCCAGCTACTCAGGAGGCTGAAGCAGAAGGATCACTTAAGCCCAGGAGTTTGAGGTTGCCATGAGCTAGGCTGATGCTACAGCAACTCTAGCCTGGGCAACAGAGTGAGACTCTGTCTCAAAAAAAAAGAAGAAAAGAAAAAATTAGGCACTACAGGTGGGGGCACACCTGTAGTCCCAGTTACTTGGGAGGCTGAGACAGAAGGATCTCTTGAGCTGAGGAATTTGAGGTTGCAGGGAGCCATGATGATGCCACTGCACTCTACCTGGGGTGACAGAGTAAGACTCTTGTCTCAAAAAAAATTTTTTTTAAATAAAAATGATGTGGTTGTTGTGTCTCTAACAGGCCATTTGATGTGCTGTCTCTGTATCTTGGATGAGATGGAAGAATGTAGGCTAAATGCTAAACAGTTGTATGGATTAGTAAATGATTGACTATTCCTAGGCTGATCTGCTTCATGTTGGAAGGACATTTTAGTGGCATATGACTGGATTATCTCAGCTCTTTCATGTTCAACATTCCCATCCGTGACCAGATGGGAGCACACAAACTGGAATAAGTGGAATGATGGGATCAAAAAGAACTTGGTGGAGTGACTCTTAACAAGTTAAATTATAATAGAGACTCGTTCATTTAATAGGTATTTATCAAGCATCTACTACATGCCACGTATGTAAAAGTAAATATAAGGTCCTAAGCTCAAATAAAAATACAGATTAATAAAATTTTAAAACTTAGCTGCGTGAGTTAAATATTACTAATAAATATTACATGAGAGGAAGCATTTTTAAATATAGTGGATTTTAATTGACATTAAGCTTAGTGTATGAATCAGGAGTTGTGATGTGATCACCAGAGAAACTGAGATCTTGGGCATTATTAATAAAGCATGACTTTTCACAGGGTGGTTAGGGATGGCTAGGTCTGCTTAGATGACCCTAGAAAATGGCCTTCTGTTCGAGGCTTCTTCATTGAGAAATGGAATGAGATACAAGTGAGAGAACTGATTGTATTTAGCCTGAAGATGAGATGCAAGGGAACTGTAATCATTGTCTCTAAACATTTGAAGAACCATTTATGGAGTGCATCTCTAAGCGTTTAACATATATTAACTCATGAAAATCCTCAACCCACTAAAGTTAATATTACTATTATTCCTTTTTTTGGAGATAAAGCAAGGGTCAGAAAGATTAAGTAACTTGCTGTGAGTCACACAGCTTTGAAATGGCAGAGCTGGGATTCAAGCCCAGGCAGTCTGCTCTGAGGACTGAACTCTCTGTCAGCGTGCTGCCTAAGTTCCTAAGTTTTTTCTCTGTGGCCCCAGTTGATCCAGTGTGTTCAGTGGATGAAAGGGCAGGGAAACTCTTTTCGGCTAACTTAAAACATCTCAGACAGCAGACCAAAGATGGGAGGGAATCCTTTCTCTGTCACTGGAGCTTCCCCACAGCCCAGCCTGGCTCACTCCTGAAAACCAGGGAGGGGAGCCAGCCAGGCCAGCTGACCTTCCGGGCACTTTCACACTGCAATTCTGGGAGTGTTTCCTATCAGAAGTCATGAGCTGACTCTCCTGTGTCTCCTACTTACAAGTTAATATATTTTTCTTATTTGCATAGCAGAAATACTTTCTTGTAAACATTTATGTCTTAGCTTTGTGCAATTTGATGTATATTGTTTTAATGGCACATTTCCAGTAACAACTTCTCAGGCAAAAGCCATATTGTCATTAAAAATTTTTTTTCTTAAAGATGTTTTCCTGAGTACAAAATTCATAGTTTTTATTATAGAAAATTGAAAAAGTCTAAGAAGGTAATTAAAATCTCTTATAATCTCACTGCCCAGAGATAATCACTATTAACATTTGCTTTAGATGCATCAAGATTCTTTTCATAGAAAAAATATTTTGACAAATTCTGAGGATTCCTTTTTTTTCCCTTCTGGCTAGGTTTCTGCCTCAATGCTCAAGCAGTTTCCCAACAGTGGCCTGAGTCCAGGTCTTTTCAACGTGGGGCCCCAGTTATCGCCTCAACAAATTGCCATGCTGAGCCAGCTCCCACAGATTCCCCAGTTTCAGTTGGTAAGTAGCAGATTTTCTTTCTGTAGCTAAAAACATTTGCTTTTTTTCCCCCCCTTTAGCTTTGATCTGCTTCATATATCTTTGCCACTTTTTATGTTTGGAGGATACTAATTCACACTTTGATGTGAAGTATTGAGTGTGCTTAAGTGTTGATATATCAGCTCAACTGGATGTAAATGTAACCAACAGGCAGGTAACTGGTATTACTTCCCTCATTGATACTTTTGATTCGGCGACCCATACTGTTCAGTGCACAGACCCTTTTGGTGTTCTCTGTTAGTCAATCTTAGGAAACTTTGGTTCCATATTTCCTCCTTGTTTTGCAGGCATGTCAGCTTCTCTTGCAGCAGCAGCAGCAGCAGCAGCAGTTGTTACAAAACCAGAGAAAGATTTCTCAAGCTGTGCGCCAACAGCAAGAGCAGCAGGTACGTAGGATGGGAAGGGTACCTCCAGTACTGGCAGGGAAAAGGAATCACGTGTGGTCTTTTCCCAGGACATTCAGGGTGTCGGCTTACCATCCGTCTGTTTCCTCCCGTCCTGCAGCTGGCGCGGATGGTGAGTGCACTCCAGCAGCAGCAGCAGCAGCAGCAGCAGCAGAGGCAGCCCAGCATGAAGCATTCGCCGTCTCATCCTGTCGGGCCCAAGCCACATCTGGACAACATGGTGCCCAACGCGCTGAATGTGGGGCTCCCAGACCTTCAAACCAAAGGGCCAATACCTGGATATGGTTCTGGTAGGTTGTTAGTGATAAAAACTGCCTCTTAAAAAATCTGCCTATCTAAGCCTATGGTAGGGGTTGGACCTTCATTGCCTTCTGTTTTTACAACAGCCATATGACGCAGATAAATATTCTTATCCTTGGTTTATAGAGGAGCTATCTGAGCCTTCTCAAGTTTTAGTGGTTTTCCAAAGTTCACCACACAATTACTAAATAGCATAGATAGGCCTCTAGCTTCTCTGGCTGCATAGCAGTCTTATGCTACAACGTGTTTATGAATGACAAACTGCTCTCCTGCCACCAGGAATTTCTAAGAGCCAGTTTAAGAGTTGATATGTGCTGTGAGTGCTACACGTGGCAGAGGTTATGATCTATTCAACTGTGTACTAGTTGGAGTGTTTTGCTCCACTGATAAAATTGCCCTCTCTTGAAAAAATGATGAACTAAAATTAGAATGCAGATTGATGAAAATTCATCTGATATTAGTATTTCATTTGATTTAAATAGAATTAGCTTAAGTAAGGTTATACCTTTGACATTCATCAAGAATTTTTTGGCAGGCAAATCGTAGCTCTTTCAGAACTGAGCAATGTGTTGTAAGCAGAATCCAATCAGTGAGGCAGCAGTGATTTTAAAAATAAAACTTAAAAATGAAAGACACCATACACCACAGTGGTTTTATCTCAGACTAACAATATTTAGAATTTATTTTGGTAAAGAATATGCTGTTCTATGCTAACTTGAAAAAACTAGAGTTGGAAGACCTGAAGTCCATGCTCCTAGGTGACAAAGTGACCGTGGACAAATGGCCCTGCTATTTGTGCTCTAATCCCATGATCTTCCTACTGGGGTGCCCATGTATGGGGTGAGCAAAGACTTTAGGCATCCTTGATCCTGGAGAGTTTAAGGAAATTAATTTCCAGGTTCTTAATTTCCACCAACTGTTCTCTTTCTTAAAAATGATCTAGTTGAAAACTGTCTTAAATTCAAAATAACCTTTCTTCCACTTGACATGAAAGAAGGGCAGGCTCTGTGCCCATCCCACGTCTTCCTACTGTGTGTTCAGCTGGGCTACAGAATGCCGGGGTACCAGGCACAAGCAGCCTCCCTGGATGGCTAACAAAGGTGTTCTTACTGCGTGTTTTGTAGGCTTCACCTTTTTAATCACATTTGCTGTCAAGGCTGAAGCTTGATGAAAGATCGTGGGAATTTTGATATGTGTTGGGTTGTTCTGAACGTAGACACTGTGTGATAGTAAAGCAAAGCAACTTTCCTCCTCATGCCCTTTTGTGAAAGAGTGCATAGTTCTGAAGGTAGAGTCCAGTCAGTGCAAGGGAAAGAGCCACTGAAAGCCACAAGCAGCCTTTTCGCATGTTAAAATGCCCATAGTTCTTTTCAGCTCTTCTCTCTGCTCATTGCTAGGCCAATGTCATTAGGTGAAAAGAAAACCCACTTTCCAGCTGCTTGAGCAGTGTAGGTTAGCTACACTGATTCTTTTAAATACGCATGTTCAGGACGCATCAGGTAAAGCCCGTGGTAAAATATTCACATCATTTCCTTTAGGCTGACTTAATGTTAAAAACCTAAAATCCTATGATGTATTTATTTTAATGACAGTTCTCATGACATCTCTAGTATTTTCTGCCTCCTATTAAAAAGTGAAATTATATTTTGGCTATAAATCTGTTAGCTTTTAGCAACATATATCTTTCTCATTTATTAAATACACAGAAAATTTTTATTATGATGTCTTATTAGAGTAATGGTGTTTTTTGTGATTATTTTGCTTATTTCCTACTTATTTATAATGACTGAAGGATCAGAGAGCACAGTTTACACTTATATACACATTCGCTGAAGAAATTTCATGTTTTTTATCATACTCCTGTTTCATAGGTAACTCGTAAATCTAGGTATGCATTATATTTCAAAATAAGTAAGGAGAAAACATCGAATTATTACTTTGTTTTTACATTTGATATCTTATTAAAGAAGAGATAAATTAATTTCATTAGGTTTTGTTTTTTTTTTTTTTGAGACAGAGTCTCACTCTGTTGCCTGGGCTCAAGCGATCCTCCTGACTCAGCCTCCCAATAGCTGGGACTACAGGCACGTGCTACCATGCCCGGCTAATTGTTTCTGTATATTTTCAGTTGGCCAATTAATTCCTTTCTATTTTTAGTAGAGACTGGGTCTCGCTCTTGCTCAGGCTGGTTTTGAACTCCTGACCTTGAGCATTCCACCTGCTTTGGCCTCACAGAGTGCTAGGATTACAGGCGTGAGCCACCTCGACAGGCCTCATTAGGTCTTTATGATTTTACTTGTGGCCTATTTGTAATTTGCTTTATAAGATGCTTTTTGTCATTTAACAGTTATAATTTTCCTTAACTCATATTATTACATTTATTTGAATTGAAAATGCATTTTGGAACTTAAAGCAAGTTTGATTTGGCTGCCTGTTTTTAATAAACTAAATCTACAAGATTTTGCTGTAAATATATTTAAAGTATGTATAGAGGTTAAAACTATTTTCTAAAAAAATTAAATATCAAAATGTAATAAACAATATTTTGGTTTTCCTAATGTTGAATATATCAAACTGAAAAAAGATACCTCTAGGTGAAAGAATAGCAGGAGTAATTAAAAGTTTCTTAATATGTTTTGATAAAGCTTCCTTTGTTATATTTTCTCAAAATTAAAAAGTGGAATGACTAATGATGACTGAACTAATTCTTACTCATTCTTTTGTGAAATAGATGGTTTCTAATTCTTTGCTTTTAGCAAAACTGAAAATATACCTAATTGTCAGGATAATGACCTATCTCAAAATTATGTTTTAGTATCTATGTTATTGGGCTAGGGGGAAGGATATACCTAAAAAGAAATTCAGAGAATTAAGTGATGTCATAACAAGACTCCTTCTATTCCCATCTGCTTATTTATATGAATAAGATATCTTAGTGCTTTATGTCTACATTTTTTTTTTTTTTTTTTTTTTTTTTTGAGACAGAGTCTCACTTTGTTGCCCAGGCTAGAGTGAGTGCCGTGGCGTCAGCCTGGCTCACAGCAACCTCAAACTCCTGGGCTCAAGCAATTCTTCTGCTCATCCTCCCAAGTAGCTGGGACTACAGGCATGTGCCACCATGCCTGGCTAATTTTTTCTATATATATGTAGTTGGCCAATTAATTTCTTTCTATTTATAGTAGAGACGGGGTCTTGCTCTTGCTCATGTTGGTTTCCGCCAGCCTCAGCCTCCCAGAGTACCAGGATTACAGGCATGAGCCACTGTGCCTGGCCTGTCTACAAAAATTTTTTAAATGCTAGAGTAAACTCTATCTTGTTCTACTAGTGAGTCTGTTGCCTATCAATAGCTGAACTAACTGAGAAACAAAGTCACTCATCTTATTAGAAAACACATTCCAATTAAATGTTACTTTTTATGTTTAAAATGTATCAAAATTTTTAATATTTACAAATTTTATTTTCACTGTGGTACATAGTGAATATTGGAGATTATGAAAGTGACAGAAGGGCAATTTGTATATATATTGGGATTGCAATTGTGTCAATATCAAGTATGCATGTGGATGTGGATTAGGACACTTGTGTGAGGGAGGGCAATTATGAGTGGTGTGTTTCTTTTATAATTTATTTTTTATTATAGTTATGAAAGCAGTAAATCATTTTTTAATCTACAGCAAAAGGATGAGCAGAATATAGAGCACTACAGACAAGGGAGTGAAGACATCAATTTAAGGACAAGTTAATTCAAGAGGGTTTCCTCAAAGATGTAACAACAGCCACAGGGTAGTGGTGGGTAGACAGTGCACTAGGGTGTGTGGAGGCAGGAGAAGGCGATTCTGGCAAGGACAGGTAAGGTGGCAGGCAAAGAGTTGTATTTGTAAGATTGACAAGGCAAGTGAAAGGGATGTCGTGGTGAAATGAGTCCCAGGGAAGGCAAAGGCCGTGTCTTATCTCTGCTTGTACCTCAACTCCTCACACAGCCTGGCGCAAGTTAGGCTGTCCATGAATATTCATTGAGCCAAACTAAATGGCTTCTCTGATTGGAGTTAGTTTTGTGTTTGTAAGCCGGAAATTACAGGGAAGCTACTTGGTGGACTGAGCAAATTCGGTTTTGATGTAGTAGCAAGTCCAGTAAAGTAAGTATTTTCCTGGACTTAGAAGTGTGACAGCCCATAAATAGCCCAGAGGTCACTAGTGAAGTGCCTGTCTGCTCTTTGTTAATGCAGGTGCTGGAGCACAGTGCTTCAGATTCCTTCCCCAAGATTCATCAAGCACATTCCATGTCCCGGCATCATGCCGGTTACTATATGACATCATAGAAAATTATGCGCACCTTGCGCTGATTTTTCTTCTCATGGTTTTGGATATGTAGATTTAACCTTTCAAGGCAATTTTATCTCCTCTTCTCCCTCTGACACCCTTCAGTTTTTTTTTTTTCCTTACCAACCTTCTGCCATAGCTATGGTGCTGCCATATTGTGGTGGCACTTGGTCCCCAATTTTCTAGTGAGAAGGATGTGCAGTTTATCTAAGGTTCTAGTGGAGCTGCTTTAATCCTTCCCTATTCTAAGATTTATACCTTGTAATTTTCTACATTCATGTGTTACCAAAAAACCTCCAAGCCAGTGAACTTATATTACTTTAATTCACTATGAGTTTTACAAAACTTTTAGAGTAACTGCAAATAAAATTAATGTGTAAGGAATGATTCCTTCTTATTAACCGTTACATTCTTTTTAATCTTTGCCAGAATCCTAGGTTATTTTCAAAAATTCTTTCTTGATCATTGGAACTCAGCTTTCAGATGGCCTGGAATTCACACCTTGGCCTGGTTTTGTCTCTCAAAGGCAGAAGTATGATTTGCCCAAAGAGCAACCTGCTTAGGCCATTAAAATTTATGTCACAGTAAACCTTTGTTCCTTGGAACCTCCCTGCCCTCCGATCTCATTTCATTTCTGCTACAAAGGAAGAAAGAAAAAAATGCCTTGAAAAATGCTTCTTTTTTAAAAAAATATAATAATTTATAACTTGAAGTATGTTTGTCTCCTTCCAAGGATTTCTGCTCCCCACTCTCACCCTCCAAACAATCATTTGGATTATTAAGCTCAGTTTCAAACAGTGTGAAAGAACAGTTTTCTATATAAATAGTAACATTTTAAACATAGATCAAGAAGGTACCAGGCTGGGTGCCGTGGCTCACGCCTGTAATCCTAGCACTCTGGGAGGCCAAGGTGAGCGGATAGCTCGAGGTCAGGAGTTCAAAACCAGCTTGAGCAAGAACGAGACCCCGTCTCTACTATAAATAGAAAGAAATTAATTAGCCAACTAATACATAGAGAAAAAATGAGCCGGTCATGGTGGCGCATGCTTGTAGTCCCAGCTACTCGGGAGGCAGAGGCAGTAGGATTGCTTGAGCCCAGGAGTTTGAGGTTGCTGTGAGCTAGGCTGATGCCACGACACTCACTCTAGCCTGGGCAACAGAGTGAGACTCTGTCCTAAAAAAAAAAAAAAAGACCCTATACGGCATGACTCTTTAGTTCTCCCCATCCCCTGCCACTCTGCATCTCATAGTTAGCTAGACCTCAGCAATCACGTCGAACTTCTTGCCAGTCCCCAAACATGCTTGATCGCCATGAATCAGAGCTTTGTCCTTGGTTTCCTTGACTTACCCAAATACCTACCCTAGGCTCTAGATCACATGTCCCTTCTGCAAAGCCTTTCCTCCCCTAGATATCCTTATCACATCCCTGTTGTGCTGTTGTACCGTATTGGTTGAACGTGTAGGCTTCTTCATCTCGATTGGAGATGGCTGGCCCCAAAGGAAAAAGGGAACGTGCGTGTGCACCAAGTTGCTGCCTATGTGTATCTCTGTACCTTAACAAAGAGTCATCACTTTTTTAGCAAGCAAGAGCAAAGATCAGATTTTTTTAATCAAAATATCTGTTTCTGAGTGGAGGAACTTTGTGAATTGGCCATTGACAAGTGAAGACATTCGTGGGTTCTGCATCAGACCTCTTGGTTGCTAACGCTAGAAATTTATGGAAAGACATAAAATGTGGTATTCTCCATTTTAGGCTTCAGCTCTGGCGGCATGGACTATAGCATGGTTGGCGGGAAGGAGGCTGGAACAGAGTCTCGCTTTAAACAGTGGACCTCCATGATGGAGGGACTGCCCTCCGTAGCCACACAGGAAGCCAATATGCACAAAAACGGTAAGCGCAAGCTATTCTGGCCCTCCACAGGTCTTGAGGAAGCATCTTATAAGATTATTTTGAAACATAGATCTTTCCTTTTTTCTTAATGAGTCTCTTGATCTTTTTTCCCTCCAAATCTTTATAATCACCTGTGAGAGGAAGGTTGGAGTTATATGTATTTAAAATGACAAGAAATTTAAAGTGCTAGTTCTAATTAAGGGGAGCAAATTTCATAGCTGCCATGGGATTGAAGGTAGTGAACCTGGGCACCTATGAAGATAAAACCCTTATAAATTGGCTGACCAAACAGAATCAGCTTGTTGAGTTAGGGGTTTTGTTTTGTTGTTTTTCGAGGGGCAAGGGATCACAACAAATACACATCTTATTGATTATTTCAACCACATGTTCACCAGCTTCTTCAAAAATTCCTGCTTTTAATCTCCAAAAGATGACTGATACATGAGATTTGAACTTTTCACAAAGCTTTCTTTTTCTTCGTGAATTACAGTGTCTGCAAGACCGCATTTAAGGGCATTGCAGGCTTTGGTTGTGAATGTGAGTCAGCCCTTCCCCTCCATAATTCTCTGTAAGGGCTTCTCCATTTCCCTGTAAAACAGATAAAAGGTCTCAGAACCTTCCTTCAGCCTTTGTTTCGATGTTTGCTTCATTTGATGGGAATTCACTTGGACTCAGCTGTATGTATGAGAACCGAGTATAAATAGGTATCCGTCTGTTCTGCTGCAGCTCCCTGGCAGGCCTTAGCCGAGTCATTCGGTCTGAAGCCTTTCAGGTTTCCTGTATGAAGCACTCTTCAGTAGCCCATCCAGGAGGCTGGTGAGGTGGCCTCATGAGGCTCCCTGCCTGATAGCCCTAAGCACTATCATTTGACTTCATGGCACAAAGTCAAGAATGATTTATTGAAATCATAAAATCTGTTTATGGACTGAATAATCCAAGCCCAGTATCACCTATAGCTTTGGGCACTTTTATGGCTTTCTTAGGCTGATGATTCATGTTCCCAAAGACATGATAGGTGCGTGATAATAAATACAAAATGACACATGAGAGGCTATCTTGAAGGTACAATATCCACTTGCCTTTTAGAGTTTATAGATCATGTTTTCCTCATTTCCTTAGCAATCCCCAAGATAATTGAGCTTTTCATTTTCCACTACTTCACTGTAATGTGCTCCTGAGCCAACTTTCTGTCAGTGGCTCCAGAAAAGCAAATGTTCTCTTAGCTGAGCATGGAGATAGTTTTGATAATACTCCTGTTAGGCTGCATCGCCCTGGCAATAATGTTATCTGTTCACAAGCAGCATCCTAAGAATAGATTGAGTGACACAATACAGCATGTAAAATTCATTTGAAAAAAATAAGTATAATGGTACCTCACAGACACCTAAAATTTTATTTAAAACACATTTTTTTGTTAGTTGAAGGGAATTCTAAGCTTTTAATTTTTTTCCCGCCTTATAGCATAAAAATGCACAAAGGGGGCACAAGCAAAACCACTGAAATGCTCTCGGGAAAGTGGTTACAAAGGATCTGCTGTTCTTCATGTGTGAGGCTGCGGATCTCAGAGCAGCAGAGTTCACTGCCGGCCTTGTGCTGGCAGGGACCCTAGGCGGGAATTCCATCTCATTGCCTTGGAATTTAAAGCAATTGCAGATGCTTTTCTCTCCAGTGGAGTGTCTCTGTTTATACTGCTGCTTCCAGCTAATCTAAGCCTGATCAGCCCTTAAGAACTTGGGTGGGTAGCATCAGTAGAAATTTAGTTAAAACCTTCATTTGTGCTGCAAATTGTTTAGTGTTTTTCCCATTTCTCACTCTTAAGTCATTAGCATGGAAACCATGGGGATGATGGTAGGATTCATAGTTTGTAAACATTCCATTAATTTCATAAGACTGAAATTTTACAGCTGGAAGGAATGTTTAAGAACGAGAGCAGTCCTGTGTGCCTAAGTGAGAGACTGAGAGAGGTGAAATGAATTGATCATGGTCACATTGCTTATTAATTATATCCTAAGTCCCAAGTGCAGCCTCATTCTAGTACTCTTTTTATTCCATAAGCTTCAGAATACTGTGTTTGTTGAGTTCTTCTGAATAAAAAAGATAAATTCTGTTCCTAGGAGTTACTCTAGATGAATTAATTTCCTCTCTTCTCAGGCGCTATAGTGGCCCCTGGTAAGACCCGGGGAGGGTCACCATACAACCAGTTTGATATCATCCCAGGGGACACACTGGGTGGCCATACGGGTCCTGCTGGTGATAGCTGGTTACCTGCCAAATCTCCACCGACAAATAAAATCGGAAGTAAATCCAGCAATGCCAGTTGGCCTCCAGGTATTGTTCGGGAAATTCTTTTTCTATGATAGCATTTGTTTTTTAATTGTTGATTTCAGGTTCTGAACATACTGCTTTTGTGACCTACTTCACTAAGGCACTTGTTTTCATTTTTCATTCCGTAATTATTGTCTGATAAAAGCAAACGCACGTGCTATGGGAAGATACATACTGTGGGAAAGATAGAAAATTTTCATTAGATGGGAAATCTACGGTTAAAGGAAAGTGACATTGTGGCTGGGACTTGGCACGTATCCCATGCTTAGAATTCCTTGTAACATAGATGCTTTTGAAGTATCTTTTGAATTGGTTTATTACTAATTCTTCAGCAATTATTTATTCTCAGTTCTGTTCCAGTAGTGAGTGCAGTAGTGAGTTGCAGTAGTGAGTGCAAGGAGATTATTTGTTAATTTTTTTTCTCTCTCTCTCTTTTATGTTTGTTTTTTTTTTTTTTTTTTGAGACAGAGTCTCGCTTTGTTGCCCAGGCTAGAGTGAGTGCCGTGGCGTCAACCTAGCTCACAGCAACCTCAAACTCCTGGGCTCAAGCGATCCTCCTGCCTCAGCCTCCCGAGTAGCTGGGACTACAGGCATGCGCCACCATGCCCCACTAGTTTTTTCTATATATATTAGTTGACCAATTAATTTCTCTCAATTTATACTAGAGACGGGGTCTTGCTCTTGCTCAGGCTGGTTTCGAACTCCTGACCTCAAGCAATCCGCCCGCCTTGGCCTCCCAGAGTGCTAGGATTACAGGCGTGAGCCACGGCGCCCAGCCTCTTTCTCTCTCTCTCTTTTAAACATAATCTATTTTCGTTGTAGAAAAATTAAAAAATTTAATAAAGCAAAAATAAAAGTCAGTGACTCCATAAATATATGTCCTTCTGGACCTCTTTCTGTACGTGTATATTTATGACATGAATATATATATATAATTTGATTTTATTAAAGTAGCATCATATAATGCATATTGTTCATATATAATATATGTTGCTCTTTCTCATCATGATTAGGAAAACAAAAGTTTATTAATTCTGGCTGAGCATGGTGGCTCACGCCTGTAATCCTAGCACTCTGGGAGGCCAAGGCAGGAGGATCGCTCAAGGTCAGGAGTTCAAAACCAGCCTGAGCAAGAGTGAGACCCCTATCTCTACTAAAAGTAGAAAGAAATTAATTGGCCAACTAAAAATATATAGAAAAAATTAGCCGGGCATGGTGGTGCATGCCTGTAGTCCCAGCTACTTGAGAGGCTGAGGCAGAACGATCGCTTGAGCCCAGGAGTTTGAAGTTGCTGTGAGCTCGGCTGACACCACGGCACTCTAGCCTGGGCAACAGAGTGAGACTCTGGCTCAAAAAGAAAAAAAAGTTTATTAATTTTATCTCATAGATTTAAATTGACAAGTAAAAAATTATAAGCTCTCACGTACTGTCTAGGGTCTCTGCTGCTACGCTAAGTTATTCCTGCTGCTTTTCCCTGGATGTTCCATGTAGCAGTCAGTGGTCATTTATATTATGTTTTATGTGTTCGGCCCAATATCCAGTGAGAAAAATGGGAGAAGTCACTGATCTCCAGCCTAAGTTTCCTCTCAGTTCTTGGCCTAGATACCTGGACGGTTCTTGTGAGCACCAGAGTCCTCACTCCTATTTCTCTGCCTACAGGGTAAATTCCCTTAGGAGCTCGACAGGGCAGGCCTTGATGAGCTGTGGCATCCAGTTCACTCCCTCAGACTGACCGGCACATGTGATGCCGCAGAGGTGCTCTTGACAAGAATATAAGTTCAGGCTGATTTTTTCTTTTTAATTTCATGATGAAAATCTAAGAGACAATAGATTCAGTATGTAGACTTTTCACAGACCCATTTCTTGTATCAAAAAATTATTTTATCAGCTGGGCGTGGTGGCTCACGCCTATAATCCTAGCACTCTGGGAGGCCAAGGCTGGCAGATCGCTCAAGGTCAGGAGTTCGAAACCATCCTGAGCAAGAGCAAGACCCCATCTTTACTAAAAATAGAAAGAAATTAATTGGTCAACTAAAAATATATAGGAAAAATTAGCCAGGCATGGTGGCGCATGCCTATAGTCCCAGCTACTCGCGAGAGGCTAAGGCAAGAGAATCGCTTGAGTCCAGGAGTTTGAGGTTGCCTGGGCAACAGAGTGAGACTGTCTCAAAAAAAAAAAAAAAGTTTATTAATTCTATCTCATAGCTTTAAAAATAGATTTTAAAGCTTTAAAAAGTTTACAACACAGGCAACACAGACTCTGTCTCAAAAATAAAAATTATTTTATCTTTTTTTTTTTTAAAAAACAACCTCTAATATTTGTTCTCCTTGTCTCAGAATTCCAACCAGGAGTGCCATGGAAAGGTATCCAAAATATTGACCCTGAATCCGACCCCTATGTCACCCCAGGAAGTGTGCTGGGGGGCACAGCCACATCTCCCATTGTCGATACTGACCACCAGCTGCTGCGGGAGAACACCACAGGTAAGCGCTGGCACTCCCCGCGTGCCTTCCGTACCTGGCGTTTCCATAGTTACCCGTCTGTGGCTCCATCCGTACTTGCTGGTATCTAATAATTTAACCCTAAAATATAAGAATACTGCTTTTCATGTTTATGTTTTTTAGACATAGCTTGTTCTCCCTTCTATCAAAGTTTAAATAAAATACTCTCAAGGTTTCATTGGTTATACTGCCATTTATCTTCAGTATTTTCTTCTTCTTCTTCATTTATCATCCCAAGGGTCTAATTCTTCCCTCAACACCTCGCTGCCTTCACCTGGTGCCTGGCCCTACAGTGCCTCTGACAACTCCTTTACCAACGTTCATAGCACTTCAGGTACGAGTGTGACCTGTTTGTTTCCCTTAGGGTAGCACTTTGCCTCAGGTTCTCTGTTACAAAGAAAACCGGCATTTATTTCTTAAGGAATACTTTTACAGAAGTTGGGCAACACAGGTCCACGTAGGTGGAAGCACACCTTTTGTGTCTGTCGTGCCTTCGAGGAGCTTCTAGTCTCATAGGGAGGATGAAGCATATTCAGCTTTGGGAAGAGGCTGATGGGTGACATAATCGCTGGGAGCTCGGGGTGTTCAGAGGGCCGAGGTCATATCCCGATGACACAAACACTACTCTTCTAACCATCCTAGGAAGAAATCAAAGCCCTTGGGAAGAACCAGTGTAAGTCCAAGTTGCTATTCCTAAGGCAGCCAGTTACAGCTTGTTTTTCCTCTAAAAATCCTTGCACACGGACAAAGACTAAGGATAGATGGTCATAGGAAAAAAGAGGACCCCAGTTAATTTTCCCAACATTTGTTATGTTCCTCATGTTTTTTTGAAAGACAGTAGGGAATGAAAAAGTTAATGGATATAATAAAGGCTTGGAAGTCACTCACTTAGCACAGTGCCTTATAGATTGGTAGACAAATCATTAGTAATTGGCACCTTGGTTTTACAAAAGTTGGACCATAAGCCATTAAAGTCACTAAGACTTCTATGCTTTGTCCAGGCAAGAGCACATAAAGCTAAGACGCCTGTACAGGCTTATGGTCTGCAAATAGTCGTCTTTTTCTTTCCACCTCTGTGTCATATGAGTAGAACAACAGTCATATACGGTTTATGGACTGCTCCTACAGGACAGGCATGCTAAACCTTCAGCATGAATCTTACTTTACCTTCACCGAAGGCTGTGAGGTGGCCCTGCCGTCATCCTCATTTTTTAAATAAAGAAACCGAGACACAGAGCTGATAGGGTTTGCCTCCAGTCTGCGCAGCTGTGTGAAGGAGGTGTCTCAGTTTGCCATGTTTCTAACCACCACCCTGCATGACACTTCTACAGGACTTTTACATGTAAAAAATTACTTCCACTTAACTTTTACTCTCCCATAAATGCCCATACCTCAGGTTGAACTATGTATGTTTTCCCCAAAATTGGACGTTCACCTGAGATATGAACCAGAAATTACCTCAGACTTGTCTAAAACTGAACCTAGACTTCCTCCTTCCCCAAATTGTCTTTCCTCAGCTCTTTATCTTTCTTCACGATGTCCCAAGTATCACCCAGTCACAGATTCCCGGTATTTTCTCCCTCTCTCTTCTCCCCCTCCCTCCATGGATCCAGACAGTGATGGTGTCCCCCGAGTGGTTTATTCTGCTCTCATGTTGCTCATCTCCACTCCTCCTATTCCATTCCATTTGCTGTCACACTAGTTTAAATACTCCATGCTGATTCCTCTGCAGAGACTCCTGCTAGCATCTTAATCGGCCTCCAGCCTCCCTTTGTGACCTCCGTCACCTCTCTCCCCCTGTGAAATGTTCAACCAAAATTGAAGGACGTACTTGATACAGGAGGAGTTTGTGTTGAACCGTGGTTTACATTTTCCTGTTTGTAGGAGCCCATCCGTTTGTGTAAATCCTTCAAGACCTGCCTTTGCAAAGCCTTTGTTGACAGCTCAGCATTCTTTTTCTCCCTTGTATACTGAACATATATGATGTTGCCGTGGTTACCAGTTCTGTTGTTCATCTGTTCTGTCTTCCCATCTGAACTAGAGGTTCTTGGGGAATAACTGTTTATATAACCCACAGCGCTGATTTAGTGCCTTATACATAATAAGCCTTTAGTGAATATTTGTTGATTGTTTTGTAAAAATCTGTTTGAATGTTGTTATCTGATATGCTGAATCCAGGCACAAGAAAAGTGTAATTTTCTAATGTACTTTTCATTGAGTCAGTGAATATTTATAGAATGCTTTAGTTCTGCTAGGCTTCACATTCTAACTATGTATATAAGCCCGATGTCTTTAACAGTACTTGCTCCTTGAATTTGTCTTCCCTCTCAAGTTGTTTTAGCTGAGAAAGTAGTATAGAATTAGTTATCTTATTAACTAATATAAGATGTTATTATCTTATTCATATGATATCATTTAATATTCATATAATATCATTTCAGAGCCAATAGTCACTTAAAATTTTATATTCAACAAGGTCAAAGAACAATGGTATTTTTATATTGCTGTTCTTAAAATATGTACTTTTTAGAATATAAGTATGTATGTATTTATGTGTGTGTAGACAAAATTCATGTGTATTTGTCAACAAAAGTGACCCATCTAACCTTATTTCTTCTTTAATTTTCTCTTCTTATAGCAAAGTTCCCTGATTACAAATCAACATGGTCCCCAGATCCCATAGGACACAACCCCACTCATCTCTCCAACAAGATGTGGAAAAACCATATCTCCTCCAGGAACACTACACCGCTGCCCCGCCCACCTCCCGGTCTGACCAACCCCAAACCATCATCTCCCTGGAGCAGCACAGCACCCCGATCAGTCAGGGGGTGGGGGACACAGGACTCACGGCTTGCCTCAGGTGAGGAGGATCTGCCTAAGGAGCGTGGTCCTTCGTCCATTCTGTCAACACAGTGGTAAAGACAGGAAGAGATCTTTACAAAAGAGGAAAGCATGGGTGTCTGGTAGAGGAAAAAGGATCTCTTGAGTGTAAGTTGTAGCCAGAATAAGATAGAGGGACCCAAGAACTCCCCAGGGACACATAGAGTAAAAATGACAAATAGCAGAGTGAGACACTGGGAAGAAAATATTTTCTTGCAAATAAGGCAGAAGAGTACACAGGAGTCGAGGACCCGTAGAAGAGAAAAAGAAGGTCAGAGACTAGTAAAAAAGAGAGACTATTTTGTAAAAGAGGAGTAGAAACATGTGGGCTACAGGAAAATGTTTCTCCCTCATGGCTTTCTTGAATTTTTTGTTACTCTTCCTGATCCTTTTTCTGGTTGCTTTCAGCCTCTACCTGGAGTGATGGTGGTTCGGTTCGTCCTAGTTACTGGCTAGTTCTTCACAATCTCACTCCGCAGGTAATCGTGCTTTCTCGTGGCTTTCTGGATAGGTATTAAGAGAGGGAGAAACTCAAGAGATGCGGGAGGTTGGCAGATACGAAAGCTCATTCGTTTCCTGGTCTCTGCAAAGAGGTCCTACCTCCTTGAGGAGGCTCGTCTCTCCACCCAGAGTCCATAGCCCACAGCTGATGGGGGCGGTGCTGACCACTGAGCTTTATGCCTGCCGTCAAGGTGATGTTAACACAGGAAGTTTATAAAACTGAAAGTCGGGTAATAGTATTTGGTGATTTCTGCATAGCAGAGATAATTTTCTGTATAGATACATCTGTGATAATCTGGAACATCTAGTGGGAGAGGGATTTATTTTTTTAACCACACACAAAAAAGTTACCTATTTCTATGTTAGTTGTCCAACAAGACCTGAGGTGCCATATTAACCGTTACCATGCATTATAAAAAATTAACTGTCCATCTCTGCAGTAGAAGGAATCAGTCAATTTCATAGCTTATAAATGCCATGCGGATGCTTTTGATATTCCATCTGTTGTCCTCGTCGTATGTAGGTGGTATTATTAATTTGCTCTCATCAGAACCTGCTCTCTGGGTGGTTTTTCCAGTGGTGGGTTTTCTTTTGCATCAAGCCACCCTCACTTTGTCCTTGGTTGCTCGATAACTGACACATTTGCTCAGCATCCTGTTGAGCACTTGACTACGGTTAAATGAGCCCATCAAAACTTAGCCCATTACCTTCATCTTGACTTAACAGTACAACCTTTACAGCACCTTCTTAAAAGGAATCAATTATGCTTCCTCCTTTTTGACACATAAGATGCATTGTCTAGCATTTAATTCGTACATGGATTCACGCACACTTTATTACGCCGACATGGTCCAGAGTATTCCCATGAGCTATTATGAGGTCTTTCGCTTAATATGTTTGAAATGCGTAGTTGGTTAGATAAAACTAAGCAGGTTTCCTCACTATGAGACTTCTTAGACCCTTAAATATACTAATGTATATTATCATTCTCTGTGGAGAAATACATCTTCTAAATTTATTTGCCCGGGGAACCCATTTGTGAGGTGTAAATTACAGGACTCATATTTCAAGGTACATGTTGGGAAAAGCAGTTACACGAGGAAAGGTATGGGTCAGTGCTTACTCTCCATGTCTAATCAACTCAGCTAAAAGTTTCAGGTTATTTATTTAGCTAATAGCTGACTGAAGCATAAAGAATCTTATATGACCATCCTCAGAACTATGCATGCCTCATTTTTTCTAAGAATTGCCAAGCAATGTGGTGGTCCCAGTCATAGCTTAAAAGGTTCTAAGAGCAAATCTTGATTTAGTAGTCCTCCCCTTATCCAAGGTTTCAGTTACCCACAGTCAACCACAGTCTGAAAATATTAACATATGTTGAGAGAGACCACATTCACATAACTTTTATTGTAGTATGTAGTTATAATTACTCTATTTTGATCTCTTACTGTGCCTAATTTATAAAGTAAACTTTATCATAAGTATGTATAGGGCTTGATACTATCCACGGTTTCAGGCATCCACTGTGGGTCTTAGAATGTGTCCTCTGAGGATAAGAGGGACCTGTTGTACCTGGATAAGTTTACTTTTCATCACCTAAAATTTATATAGAGGACATCTATCCTGAAAGTCTCTTGTGGCGTGGTCTCTCTACTGACATAGTTATGTAGTCAGTATTGTTACTTACAAAACAATGTTAAGAGCGGTTTCTATATTTTCTATGGCTATCATTTCTCCATGTAGCTATGGAGAAACTGCCAGTTTTCATCCTGCAGGGTTTCCACCACTGCTGCCAATAGCATAACATTTAAGTCAGTTCTGTTAGTAATGCGTTTATCTTCCAAAGAAATGAAATGTTGGATTGGGCAGCTTAAATAAACTTATTTAAGATCTTGATGCAAAATAAATTAATGAGAGTGAACAGATTTGTTGATCCAACTCATAGGTAGGGAGATCACTGAATATCTGAAGTGGTGAGGATCTAACCAGGGAGGACAAGTACAGCCTTTGGGAAGCAGGTGTAAATAGTCCCACCTCAAGGTGGTCAAAGCAGGCGTGAGGCAGTGTTGGTATAGGCTGTGAACTAGAGCAGCTGGCAACATCTTAAATGATCCGATGTCTAGCAGTGCTTTTCTTATTTCTGTTCTTCTCATAACCTCTTTGTGAGATTAACTTGGAGAGGTAGAAGAATAATACATTAGTAATGATGCTAAGAACTTTTTATGTTAACTTAAATTCTTACTTGGATACCATCTCATTTCTGCCTTTTTTAAAGCTCTACAGATCAATACACACTCATTTACCTCTTAAAGGAAATAGACCACAAGTTGAATTACATGCTTTTTGTTCGAGCTATATTTATGCAAACATTTTTATTTGCAAAATGGGTACACTGCATCTCACCCAGTGCTTTGAATATCTTAAAGTTTGCCTTTCCCATCCCACCTCCTTCCCCCACCCCCGAGACAAAGTCTTGCCTGTCACCCGCTGGGTAGGGTGCAGTGGCATCATGGTAGCTCACTGCAACTTCAAACTCCTAAGCTCAACAGTCCTCCTGCCTCAGCCAGCCTGAGCAAGAACAAGATCCCGTCTCTACTAAAAATAGAAAAATTAGCCAGGCATTGTGGCAAGCACCTATAGTCCCACCTTCAGTTTTTATCTCATGAATGTCGTTGCTCCTTAGATTGATGGGTCAACCTTGAGAACGATCTGCATGCAGCATGGCCCACTGCTGACATTCCATCTGAATCTAACCCAGGGCACTGCCCTGATTCGATACAGCACCAAACAGGAGGCAGCCAAGGCCCAAACTGCACTGCACATGTGAGTATTCCATCCTACACCTACTCAGACAGACATGCCTGGAGATGTACCTGTGAGTATTTGGCACCTGCCTAATTAAAGATGCACAAGAGCATGCACAAAAATGAATGGCACCATTGCGTATTCATTTGCAAGTCTGAGGTACTGTGGTATCATGTCTTCTCTAGCTAAGCTTAGATGGTCCTGTGTATATCATAGGCTGATAACCAAAATTCCAAATGTAAATAATTTCTAAAATGGTAAATTTTAAGTACCATAAAACAAAGCCAGTATTTATGAAAATGTGAAACATTGTAAGTGCTGTCATTTTTCATAATAGAATCTAGCTGCTTCCTGTGGCCTCTTTGCAGAGGAAGATAAATACTGTGGTCTTGGTCAGTAGTAGAATCTTTGCTTGACGTAAGTGGAACTGGATCAGACTTTAACCCTCCCTCTCCCTGCCACTGTCAAACTAATGGACAGAAAAGAGCTGACTGCCTTTGGCTGCAGATGCGGTGCCAGAAAGTGACACACACAGCAAGCACGTAGTGGTGAGGCTCAGGCAGCAAGTGCGGTCCCTGACACAGAGCGGCACTACCAGGTGTCTGAGCCTGGTCTCCATCATGCTCTGGGTGTGATCCTTTACCTCCCATGGAAGGAAAAAAGATACCGCATTTTCCCTTTCTTTTTTTCTTTTTTTTTTTTTTAAGACTTTATTTTTAAAGCAGTTTTAGGTTCACAGCAAAATTGTGAGGAAGGTACCGAGATTTCCCATATGGCTCCTGCCGGCACACATGCATGGCCTACCCATTATCAGCATCCTCCACCAGAGTGCTGCATTTGTCACAGTTGCTGAACACGTCATTATCACCCAGAATCTGTAGTTTACATCAGAGTTCACTCTTGGTATTTTATATTCTGTGGGCTTGGACAAGTGTCTAATGGCATGTGTCCACCATTATAATATCATACAGAGTCATTTCACTGGTCTAAAAATCCTGGGTATTCCACCTATTCATCTTTCCCTCCCTCCCTCCCTCCCTCTCTTTCTCTCTCTCTCACTTTCTTTCTCTCACACTCTTTTCTTGATAGCTGAGATGTTTAGAACAACAACTTTCATACGCCAAGGGACATTAATACACATAATACGACTATTCTCTAGTAGTCGTTGGATATCTGGAGCTTTATTGATACCTTGTTTTGAATCGGTATTTCTCAGTCACCTGGGTGAAATACAGGTTCTGATCCCGTAGGCTTTGGGTAGGGCCTCTGACTCTGGACTAAAAAGTACCCAGGGATATGGAAGCTTCTAGTCACAGGACCACGCTCTGAATGGCAAGGACCGAGAGTACTTGTTCCTTGTGTGTGCTCTAGGACGTTCCTCAGATCCGTTGTTCTTTCTCACTCCTTTTTGCAGGTGTGTGTTGGGAAACACTACCATCCTGGCTGAGTTTGCCACCGATGATGAAGTCAGCCGCTTTCTGGCACAAGCTCAGCCCCCTACACCTGCAGCAACCCCGAGCGCGCCAGCTGCAGGGTGGCAATCGCTGGAGACCGGCCAGAACCAGTCAGATCCCGTCGGACCTGCTCTGAATCTTTTCGGTGGGTCCACTGGGCTCGGGCAGTGGAGCAGCAGTGCTGGTGGCAGCAGCGGGGCCGATCTTGCCAGCGCTTCGTTGTGGGGGCCCCCAAACTATTCTTCTAGCTTGTGGGGAGTCCCGGCGGTGGAAGATCCCCACAGGATGGGCAGCCCTGCTCCTTTACTACCTGGTGACCTTCTGGGAGGAGGGTCGGATTCAATCTGAACTTAGAACTTTCAACTCTGACCTCGTGACCTTTTTTGGAACAGCAGCAGCACTAACTTGACCTTTTCGTTTTTTTTTTCAACTTGCAATAAATACATTTTTAAAAGGAAAAAAGAAAACGGAGAGAGAAAAAAAGGTGGGTCATTGACAGACTGTCTGAGCACATAGTTGCCTCCCTTATAACTTCAGTTTTTTCGTTTGGAATATGAATCCAAAAAGAGAACATATCACTCTTGAAATACTTGAATCATGAACGCCAACCTAGAAAGACAATGTGAAGCAAGTACACATACCATTTAAATTTAAACACAAAAAAATTAAAAAAATTAGTTTCTAGTTTTTCACTTTTTTCATGTTATATGGAAGTTGTTGCTAAGAAACATATATACTGAAAAAATAGCTTTTTAACTTTGTTTGCACTGGGTGTGTTTCCGTCCTTAGGTCTACCATGTTTGGGAGGGAGGGAAATTCAAAAGAATTGTTGGGGGAGGGGGGAGGGAAGACTTGACGGAGCCTCACTTTAAAAACAAAAATACAAAAAACCTAAAAAAAAAAAAAAAGGAAAAAATTTGTGATTGGCTGGTTGATAAATACCAGTGTGTTCTGGCACATGTAACCGCCCAGGCATGCTTGTTCTGGTGTGTGTGTGCACGTGTGTTCATGTGCATTTGCGTGCATCCTTCTCTGTCTCTGTGTGCCTGTGTCCTGCCCCTCCTCCTCCCCCACCCTGGTTTCTCAGAAAGCTGCATTGCTGACAGTCCGCAGGCTGGCTGGCCGGCCCATCTGCTTTTTATTTTTATTTTTTAAACTATGAGAACACACAAGCACGGAGAGCCACTGCTACTACAGCAACTCCGTTGGGCTGCATTAAGATGAACAGTGTAATTAGTTGGACGTGGTGGCATGCACCTGTGGTCCCAGCTACTCGGGAGGCTGAGGCAGGACGATCGCTTGAGCCCAGGAGTTCGAGGTTGCAGTGACCTATGATGACACCACTGCCCTCCAGCCCAGGTAACAGAGCAAGACCCTGTCTCAAAAAAGAAAAAAAAAAAAGATGAACAGAGTGCTTTTTAATGATGAAAGCAGAGAGCTCCTTTCCATTAGCCTGAGTGTGAGGTTTCTCTAGCTTCTCTCTTGACCTAGCAGTAGAGTGGAGCACTGCCAAGTCCAAAAAAAAAGGAGAGCAGGAGGTACCTGTTAGAGCAACTGTGTGTTTGTTTCTGCTTTTTTTTTTTTTTTAAAGTGAATGGCCATGAGGCACATTTGAATACCTGTTAAGTTTCATGCAGGCCTTTTCATTAGTCTGAATGGGAACAAAAGATAGTTTTCATTATAATTATGTGATGTCTCAAGAGCAGAAAAACTGTGTTCCCTCTTTCCTGTATGATCAGGTATGAGAAATTCATCAGAACATTAGTTAATGCTGAATTAAGTATTTCTATTGGTTCTCTTTTTCATTCTGTGAAAACAGAAAACAAAGTTGCGAGCAGCCTCCTGAAAGCACACGCAGCTACTCCCTCTGCTCCTGTCCCGCTGAGCGTTACCTGTGCCAGGCCGCGGTGTGCGACAGCACCAGGCCATCACTGACAGAAACGTTTACTTAACGAATGTTCTTAAACCAGTGTGTACTTCAAGCGTTTCCTTTCGTTTCTCTGTGTTGTGTATTTCCTGTGTATGTGGTTTTGCTTAGGCAGATATAACTTAGCAAAGACTTTTAAGTATTGCACCTTTTTTTTTTTTTGGTTTTGACCTATTCCCCCCACCCCCTTGTAATGTTGCTTTTTTATTTCGGTATTTAAAGACTTTTTTTTTTTTTAAGCATCAGTATAGTAGTACTCTGGGCCGAACAAGGGGCAACGTTTAATCCACAGTTATCACCAACATGTATGTACTTATGTTGGAATCCAAATGTATCAAACTGCTTATTGTGAAGAGAGTTACAGCAGACCCGAAGGGGGGTGCAAAGCGGATGGCGGGCGGGGGGAGGGGGATGCGTGCCGGTAACGTGCTAGCACTTGTGTGGACATCCCAGTCTGCATCATACTGTTTAACATGAAGTGCCGACATTTTGTACCAGCAAATACCTGCCCATTCCAACCCTTGGTGGGAGTAGACCTCTACTGTCCTCCATAACTTGCTGCTATTGAGGACAAGGGAGTTTTTCTTTCTTTAGCATCTTCAGTGAAGGATACAATGCCTCATGTGTTTGACTTTTAGCTTGTGTCTGTGTGTAGGAGGGTGGGGGGGTGTGTATAGGAAAAGGCAAAAGCATACTATTTGCATTTAAGTGGTTTTGTGAGACAAAGAATGGGAACTTCTGTAGTCCTCTTAGCTTACCCTGTTGATTTATAAACCTAGCCTCTAAAGAGATTGACAGGCATGACTCAAGTGAGTGCTCAGGCATATGAGTCTGTATGAGCCCGTGGCGGGCATGTGGTCACACTTGAGTCTGCAGCGCTGGCCTGGCCCCTTGGATGCCTTGTTGAAAACTGCGCGTGCCCTCTCCTGCTCTCCAGTTTTCATCACCACCGTGCCCCTGTACACAGTGTCTCCTGCTGCCCGTACACAGTGTCTCCTTCCAGCCCCGTGACTGCTCTCTGTGTGGAGCAGAGCCCTGTCGTGTGTGGTGACTGCCAGGTGAAGAGCAGCTTGTGTTCAGACATCTACAGAAGGCGAAATCTTAGTGTCCCTGGGCCAGGAGCACGTCCCAAGGCTCCTGCGAGCCGGTGGTGACTCTGTCCACTGCCTCTCTTGGCTCACTGCTGTGTCCTGCCTCGCCTCCTCTCCTCCTGCCTGTTGGTTCCTTGACCTGCACTATGGGTTAGTTGAGTTCCTTACGATACTACGGTGAAAGCCGGGTGCTAGAGCCCCTCTTGTTTACAAGACATAATGAGGGATTTGAAATATGTAAAAATAAACATGAGAAGCTAAAATGTTCTTCCATCATAAGCTTAAAGGGAAAAAAACTAAAAACTTAAAAAAAAAAGACCAAAAAATGCGTATATATATACATATAAATATATATTTTAGATGAAGACTAACTCTGGGAGCATTTAACAGTGTTTTTTTTTTGTTTCTGTTTTTAACATTTATTTTCCTGCTTTAAAATTTGCAAGCATTCTCAGGAATTCTAGGGTAGGAAGCCAGTTTTTGAAGATGGTTTATTTAACCGTATCTTATCCTAGATAGACGGCTGTTTCTTTCCTGTTAATAAACTTTTACAAGTTCCTGAAACTTCAAAAAGTTTAAACAATTTTTACTTAAAAAAAATGTAAAAAGAAGTCTCCAAACGTTATTGTCATACTGGGGATCACACATTTTAAAACACATAGAAAGAAATATTTTTTAAAAATTATCAATTTAGCAGCAACTGGTAAATTCATTATCTTACAAATATGGGAGAAGGCTTAAGCTTTATAAGAGCTCTATCATGGATTCATTTGAAATTGTGTGTAGTTTAATGGGAGAGTGTTTGGTGTATATAAATGGGAATGCCATCACTTTGTTCCTTTCCATTTAAAACTGAACTGAAATCTCCCCTAGTGATTTTTATTTTTTTAAAGGAACCCTTCTCCCTGTCCCCCAACCCCAGCAACAAAAGATAGGAAGAAAGAAACAACGGCTTAAAAAAGAGTAACTCTAATCTGTAAAATAGTACGGTTGGATTGCTGAGAATCTATGTAAAGAGTTAGGAAATATAGGTTAATAATTTTTGGAACAAATTTTAAATATAGGCATTACTAGAGGAAAATTATCTATGGACTGTTCTATTAATGAAGAATGTCTGTCTTACCTCCATTTGTTACGGGAGGAGGAGAAAATATAGAAGAATCTAATAAGGAACAAGTGATTTTACTTTTTTAGCTCCCAGTTACTGTTGTGCTCGTTTTAATTGCTGTTTTGAAGATCTGCTGCTTAATCATCCCCATCCCTCAGCCAGAGATGTGGAGTGTTTCCTTTCAGTTTTGGGTGATGTTGAATTCTCCTTTTGTATTCCCTCCTGGGGCCAGGGGTCAGGATTCCCAAGCGTGACCACAGCTTCTTTTAAACATTAAGCTTCCCAGTGGGAAAGAAACTCCAGCTCGACAGGTAAAGGGAGTGGGTGGGGTTGCTGCCTGCAATTTCTCTAAAACCGCTTTAGTGCCTTCGTACATACACCCAGACATCCTAAGCAGGGGCCGCGTGCGTGCATGTGTTCGCGGCCCAGTCACTCCACAGATGTTAAGATGCTTGCCCATGAAAGAAACTGGAGTGGTTCTGGACAGGCCCCAAAGACGGTGGGGTAAATTTAAAATAAATAAGCAGAAATCAAGGAAGTTAAATATGCTTTTATGTCTCCATATCGTGGAATGCCAAGCTCCCTCCTGGTGTGTGTGCCCTCCCTTCCTGCACACTGACTTCTCCAGGTTTGTAATGGTGACACCTACAGTGATTGGGAAAGCCTCTGTGTTGGGCCAATAGAAAGAGGTTCCTATTTTTCCACTAGTGTCCTCTTTTGTCTTCTCCCCTTCTCCCTGCCCCTTTTCCCTTTTTTTTTTTTTTTTTTTTTTTTTTTTTGTCACCTTGCTGGAAGCTTTGTTTTGTTGGTTGGCAGTGACCTAAGAACAAGATATGGTGAGGATGTCATGAAACAGAGAAGCTCTTTTCTTTCCATGGTATTCTTTGGCAAGAGCCATGTCCACTGAGAGGTTAGGTGGCTTCAATACACTTGCAAAGTTCAGTGGGAGTGTCTTCTCTTTCACCACATTCTGGATACGTACAGAGGCTTGCTGGTCACCCCTCATTGCGTAGATTTATTTTTAAAATGTATTGGTCATATAAGTTTAAGTTTCCACTTTTCACTAGTTTAAATTTTGGTTTTTTAAACACTTGCTTACTGGTGGCTGGAGGTGTGTGCATCTCTTAAACATCACAGACTTGGTTTATGTCTACCACATGAGTGACCAAAAAAAAGAGAAGCACTAGTAAGGAAGAGATGTCTCCCATCAGTCATGGAGGGACCTCTACTGTGAGTTAGAACCAATGCCGTGACCTGGCTCCGAGGTGTTTAAAAAAATTCGGATGTCCGAGACACTGTGAAGAAATGCATGGCCCATGTAACATCTCTGATCCCTCAGGCCTTAACCCTTGAAATTTTCCATTTACAACATTCATAGGAGTTAACTTAGCAATGCTGCAAGTTAAGGTTCCAAACCAAATTCTTTCATCACTGTCCCCCAGTAAATCAACATTATCCATTTATTGCCATTCAGTTAGTTTTATTTATAGTAGCTTAATATTCTATAACTATGGCTCCTGTTCTAAGAATTTCCCCACCTCTTCTGACATGAATGTAGCATAAGTT